AGATGTTCAACAACATTTACAACATTTCGTTTCCCACTGTTCATTCATCCAAGGGCGTTACGGCGGCATCTCATGTCTTCTGTTTGTGAAGATGGAATTAACGTGTGATGCTGATCTGTAGGGTGACCTCCCCTCACTCCATTACTCTCCTGCCTAGTTGTTAAAGAAGTCTGATGAAGGTTGAGTTCAACGGGTTCTTAGATGATGGCACTTTGTTAGAGGACGTCAAGAAAATAAATATCCTAATTTATTTAAGGCGATCCCTAAACCCCTCCAAATGTGAAGTACTTTCCTGGAAACTAGAGATTAGTGACCAAATTATAGTGACCTACCTAGAAGCACAAGCCAGTGATGTAGCTAGATCACTGGCTTGTGCTACTAGATTCTACTCTCAGGTCCAACGCTATCGACCTAATTCTAGGAAACAAAATCGCTCAACCTCAAGAAGTTGGCAGACCACATTAAAAACACTGATGCACATGACACCCAACACTTACCTGCTTGCCAGATGCGCCTCGCCTGATGCTCATCTACTTACGATGCTCACTAGCCATGTTAGAAGACGGCTTGAAATTTCCCCTTGATGACAAATAATGGATGCAAGTCTCGCTTCTATTTAAAATAGGTGAACTGGAAATTCGCACAGCCTCCCAGATGCCTTGCCAGACTCATCTTAACTAACACAGCAAAGTCTACCAGACCTCCTGGGTGATTTAGTGAGTGTACGACCCCGTCTTCTCTACAGGCATTACTGACTGAGAGATTCTTCAAGTTTCAACAAGATGCTGAACTACAAAGAATTCAGCTGGGACATCCCATTTGCAGGAAATTTATTTGAAGATATACGTGCAGAGGGAACGTCCATCATTGAGATTATTTCACTGCTGTGAGTGCATATCACTCTGGAAACTTAACAGTTCATATTTTGGCCATGGAAGCAAGTTTCCTCTCACTGTACTGCATTGGCTCTCAGCCTTGCTGCTCCCTATTCATACTGAATACAAGAGTATTTGTTGCAAGATGGAAGCTTACTAACACGGTCAGTATGATCTATACCGTGCAATATGTAAAAGCTAGCATGTAGTGCCACTCTCAATGTGGGTGAACATTCCACCGTAAAGTATTGGGCAGTGCCACTCATGCTGTGAGTGAATGTGCGTCAGTTCAATCGACAAATGCTGATAAATATTCAAGTCAACGGATTTGTACCCAGCTTACAGAAAATAAATACAAAACTTACAGCTTATAAACGCCGAGTAGCATAGAGGAAGCTGAAAGAAAATGACATACACAGATTTTAAACGCCAGTTAAAATACAGTAAACTTGAATGAGATATAAAGTACTGATTATTAAACTCTGATTAGAATAAATTAAGTTTGAGGGATATGGAACTTTGTTGCTAACTTAGGTTGTTTCAGCAAATCTTTTCTGTCCCCACGTCCATAGGTCTATGGCTTTTGCCGTTTTACTAAAAGGTATCAGAAACACTGCCGGAACAAGTAATCAAGGGAAAACTAGGCAACTACCTCCTTCATATATTAGATCAACCAGGCTGTGATGGACATGTGGGCTATCGGACCGCCAGCAGCAACAGCCTGGATGACCAGGCAAGGACAAGACAAACCTGCTCTAGGGCCGGAGTAGGAACACTCAAAACCCATCAAAGGTACACAAATTTTGAAAGAGAACTAATACTTATTCCAGACTTATTGAGAAGATAATTGAGTTGAAAATAGTATAAACTACTGACAAGTTGATGATTAAGACACATGTACAACAGTTGGGTATCTATGTTGATGAAACGTTTCGCCTACACAGCAGGTTTCATCAGTCAAATACAGAGGCAGCAGGTGTAGTAGTGACGTGAAGGTGACGTAGTCAGTCCTTCTTCAAGAACTATTCCTCCAAAAATAATGGACTGATTACACCTTCATTTAGCTACTGCACCTGTTGCCTCTGTATTTGACTGAAGAAGTCTATTGCGTGGGCGAAACGTTTCAACAATAAAGATACCCAGTTGTTGCACATGTGTCTTAATGATCAAAAGGATAATTGTTTATTCCAGTAACTCTCTTGTTGAAGCTTTAACCAAGACTTGATAGCCTCTACGATGCGCGAAACGTAGCCTTTCTGCCACTGATGTCGGCGAAAATCTGTCGCTCGATATTCAGGAACCTCAACCTGCCCAGAAATAATCCACTTGACCAGTTATCTAGTTATAACCGACAAAGAGAGAATGATCGAACTAGCTGCATATAATCCTAAGCATTACCAGAATTATCGCTCAAGCTGCAAATAATGCTGAACGTTTAATCACAAATCTCTGTCCATTGCACTGCCGTCTGAATCTTGCAACCCTGACCCCTGCAAAATTTCGCATTCCTTTCCGTGGGAAATACCCCCTGGGCACGCATAACTGCCAGCATGTGCGTTTAGGAATGACTTACGAGGACTAAGGGAGTAAACCACACCGTAACATATGAAGAGAGGAGGGGAGAC